TATTTATTTATTTATTTATTTATTTAAATATTTTATTTATTTATTTTGACAGAGAGAGAGACAGCGAGAGAGGGAACACAAGCAGGGGGAGTGGCAGAGGGAGAAGCAGGCTTCCCGCCAAGCAGGGAGGCCGATATGGGGCTCGATCCCAGGACCCTGGGATCACGACCCAAGCCGAAGGCAGACGCCCAACAACTGAGCCACCCAGTGCCCCGATGCCACGGAATTTAAACATAAAAACTAGATTTATTGTGAGGAAGGAACATTTTAGATGTTCTTCAGACTTTGTCTTTTTAAGCCATTCTGATCCCTTCCCTACTTAAGAGCACACAGTGGCTTGTCTTCTATGTAACACTCCTCTCTTCCTTCCCCATACACCAGGTTCCAGGTTGAGTGACCTCAATAGTCCCTGAAAGCACTGTCCTTTCATGTGCTGTGCTGTGCTCTCTGCTGGGAGGGTCTTTCTTATTCCCACCTGAGGAAATTTCAGCACACTTGAAGAACCCATCTCAAATGTCACCTCGGTGAAACCTGACGAGAAATCCCTGTTCTGCCATACTTAGATTTTTGTCTCGGTTATAACATTGTCATTTAGTCAGTTATTTGTATGCTTGTCAGCCTTCCTCCAAGTCCTTCCAAGACGGGGACCATCTTCAGATCCCTAGTACCTAGCGCAGTGCTGAGCATAAGTAGCTCAGCAAATATTTGTTGGGTTAGGGTAATGGATATCAAGTTCTTTACAGTGTTAATGGGCAATGCTGCTTATTTTACCACTATGTGGCAGCAAACTACGGAATTATTTCCTCCTTTGAATAGGGAGTTCAGCCAGGATGAATATTCAGCAAATTGTAGTCAGTGGTTTTTTGGGGGGAGTGGAATTAACAGGAGGCCCTCATTTTCCATGCTATTTCTGCATTGTTTGAATAATAGCATGTTTTTTCATGTGGAATATAGCATTCATAGAGAAAAGTACAAAAAACATTTCTAAAGAAGTTAACTTCTTAACTTCTTACCCAAAAATATGTTAGAATAACTTGTTAATATGCTATGAAATACAACATTCAAATAGAAGATTATGAAAATTGCTCAATATTGTGTGTATGTGTGTTTTGTTCATTATTATTCTAGCTCTGTGAAAAATGTTGGTATTTTGATAGGGATTGCATTAAATCTGTAGATTGCTTTGGGTAGTATGGACATTTTAATAATATTGGTTCTTCCAATCCATGAGCATGGAATACCTTTTTATTCGTGTCCTCTTCAGTTTCTTTCATCAGTGTTTTATAGTTTTCAGAGTACAGATCTTTCCTTGGTTAAGTTTATTCCTAGGTCTTTTATTGTTTTTGGTGCAGTTGTAAATGGGATTGTGTTTTTAAAATACAGCATTATTGCTGCTTATACTTTTTACATCAGAAAATCAAATCTTTAAAAGAAAATTTAAGCAATTCAAAAATTAAGTAATAAGGAAAAATAGTTATAAAATAATATGACCTGAAAATATTGGAACAGAGAATTATGTATACAGTATGTTTACAACTTCATAAAAATACAAATACTATGAATAAGGGTTGGAAGAGAATGTGTTTGGAAAAGTAGTTTATCAGGCTGGTTAGATTGAGTGAACATTTTTTCTTAAACTGTCTAATGTTGTAGCACTGGGTTAATAAACTTTTCTTTTAAGGCCTGTTTTTGTAATCACCAAAAAGTTAACATTTTTTACTATTTGAATTATGTTACTGTCATTTTATTTTATTTTCTTTATTTGAGAGAGGGAGAGAGCGCACGCATATGCATCGAGAAGTGGGCAGAGGAGGTGGAGCAGAGGGGAGGGAAAGGGACAAGCAGACTCTGCGCTGAGTGTGGAGCCTGACATGGGGCTCTATCTCACAATCCTGAGATTATGACCTGAGCTGAAATCAAGAGTCAACTGACTGAGCCACCCAGGCATCCTGTAACTGTCGTTTTAAAGAAAGGCAACAGTTGTGTGGGGCACAGATGGAAAAACAAAAATTTTAAATACATAGCACCATCCTTGATTAAAATGCTTTTGAAAACAAAATAAGTGTTTTTCATTCTTGTTATAAAAAGCAATCTCATTTCCTCCACATTATTCTGCCACCCAAAACCAGACCCCATTTGGGAGCCCATGTATGGACTTTATCTAGAAAGACAAATGAGGAAGTTTTGCATCACCTGATCGTTACAACAATCCCAATTCTCAGCCCTCCCCATGAAAGGGGCTAGTAGATGCTTACCATCATTTCTTTGGGACATCTGAACAAACCTGGGACAGGGAGAGATGGAAAGTTTGATATAAACTTTAGAGAGTAGGTCTCCACTCTACTGAGTACTGCAAGGGGAGAAAAGAGTTTGTAAAACATAGTTCTAATTTATTGGAAAAGGAAAGATTGTGTTGGGTTTTTGATACCCATGTTTATTAATATTATCCCGACTTAGGTTTCTGCAGCAGAGCAGATAACTATTATTTTCCCCAGTGCCCAAATTCTTATCCCTGGGATGACCTGAGAGCTGGATGAATAAAACTCACTATATGAAGTAATGCATATTATAGGTGAGGAACTCCCCCCCAAAATGAAGCTGGACACTTATATAGAAGGGAGAGGCAGCTGTACCTCTCCCCTCTTTTTGCAGAGTTTCCTTGGAGACGCAATAGGAGGGATCCTGGGCTCTTACTCTTAACCCTTTGGAATATAAATAAATTTTTCCAGGGGAAAGATAAACCTGGTGTCTCCAGCCTTACTACCCAGAGATGCCTCTACAATACAACTCTCATTCCTCCCTTAGAAATATAAACACAAACACATCCAGTAGATAAATCTCTGTAATTTACCTCCTGTAAGTGTTATAGAGTAAATGTATGTGTAAATCTTACGTGTGTATGGTAAATCTCTTCTGCATGTGTCACAGAGTTCTCTCACTAATCAGTCATAAATTAACCTTCCAAGGCTTGATTTTAGTCCAAGTCTCCAGTAAAATTTGCTTAGAAAGCCCTAACTGTGCAAAAAGATAAAAAAATATTTTCTCTATTCCACAGACTGGTTAGAACATCCCAAAACTTGTATGTCTAAGTTGGTGAGACCTTTCACTTTTATTTCAATCTTGCTGCAATTACTTAAAATTTCTGTAACTCCTATCATTCCTTTTGTGTTATTTTGACTGCACAAGAAAATCAGGCTTGCTGTTTATGGCCTCACTTTGCTTTTGGCCATTTGATCAACTGAGCACTCTCCTTGATCATACCTGGGATGTCTTACAGTTACTTTTGTTGGTTCCCAAAAGTCAAATCCAATTCCAAGGGATAAAGATTTCTATACCATTGGAGATCCTGAAAAGAATGTTCTAAAAAGAACATCCAAAAAGATTTTCAAAAATATTATGGGCTAACTAATTTATTTTTTTTTTTTTAGATTTTATTTATTTATTTGACAGAGACACAGCGAGAGAGGGAACACAAGCAGGGGGAGTGGGAGAGGGAGAAGCGGCTTCCTGCCGAGCGGGGACCCTGATGAGGGGCTCCATCCCAGGACCCTGGGATCATGACCTGAGCCAAAGGCAGATGCCCAACAACTGAGCCACCCAGACGCCCCTGGGCTATACTAATCTTTGAAGAAACAAGTGTATGGCCTCCCAAGGTGATTTCTCTGATGGGACCTATTCTCATTTGGATATGTAAGTTCTGTGCTGTGCTGTTTTGTTGTTGTTGTTGTTGTTGTTTTTAATTCACAAAGCTTTATATAAGAAACATAAAGGTGTGGTCCGATCCTGGCTTGATATCACTAGCACTAATTCCTTAACTTAGAGAAGGTAACCTATGAAGTTCACCTCAGTCCTGCTCCTTCCAATCTTGCCTACAAGTGAATGGAATATTATTTTTCTAATATCTACACTGTTGCAATCTAGGAGCTGCCCTAAACCTTTCTTTTTCCCTGAGGTATGAGCAAGACACCCATGAGGGTAGCTAGCTAATCCAATATTGGTGATTTGGGTTTAATGCATATAGATGATATTAGGGACAGAAGAATTCCAGTGGCAGTATTACCAGGTGGGCATGAGCAACCTCATTCTGGGCTCTCCATTCACAGCAGGCTCTCAGCCAGCACCTGGGTATATAGGGAAGAGGGCCTGGCCACTGGGGTGAAGAATGTGCCAAGTGAATGGTAGGCAGGGCTTCAGGGCAGGAGTCTAGGCTCATAAAGCAGTAGCCCAATGGAAGTAAAGACTGTGCTTCTCAGTAGACAGGCAAGAGAACCCAGAACTCACTCCTAACAGCCAGGTATCAGTCTATCTCAAATCCGAGTGTGACCCAGCCACAAAAGAAATGAACTAGATCTGAACTTTCCAAATGGTATGCTTAGCAGACTGGTGGTGTTACAAATGGTCAGTGATACACTAAGATCATGATCTCTCAGCCTTCAGATCAGCCAGACAATGGCTAGGGACCCCTACACATACCATCTATCCATTCATCTGTGTGCTATTCCATATTCTCATTTTCTGTGTCTGTAATGAGAAGCCCTGGACATGTTCTCTCAGCCTTGAGGACTGGAGCTGACCCACCAATTTGTTACAGCTACAATAAGAAATTAATACACTCCCTAACGGAAAAAGGAGAGAGTGGATGCCAGGCTGCACACCTCCATTGACCTCAGTGTCCAAGCCAGCCGGGTGCTGGGGTATTCACCTGGCTGACTGTCCCCAGCCCCTTAGCTCAGGCAGCCTCAGGGCTGGTGAAACTAAACCCATGCAGCTGGGGTTTTTGAGTTTTGGGTTTTTCTCTCCAAAAGATTTTTTTTTTTTTTTTAATTTAAGGGTTAGATTTTGAGGAGAGAAGAAACATGGGACAGAGAAGAGTGAAAGAGAAAACAAATACAAATGCAGGCTATTCGGCTCGTTGTTTTATAACCACAGCAAACTAGTACAGAGAACACCCGGTACAAACATCACAAAGTTTCAAAGATGGGAGGTGTTCCTTTGGCACGGCTAAGTCTTCGGAATTTAGGCGACAGTCCTTGTTTTTTGGGGGGGGTCACTGGATCCCTGGCGCAGTCCACTCCTTGAACCAGATTTGAACTGGAAAAGGACCACGTAGCCCAGGTGGAAGCAGCAGAATGGGTGGGTTCGTGGTCACATGACTGTCGAAGCTCCTCCCCTCGGGGCAGCGTCCTCTAGGTGGTACTTCTCCGGCCCCTGAGTGGCAGGCTCCAGGAGTCCGGTGGCATCTCGGGCCACGTCCGCCTCTTTGATCCCCGCCTTTCGGTGGCACGTGATTCGACGCCTGGCGCAAAGTGCCCCGGCTTGGCTGGCCCTGGCCTCTTCCCCAAGCCGGCCACTGGTGCGGGAATGGGTGAATCCAGGCAGTGAGGCGACCGTCCCAGAAACGGTGAACAGTTCGGCCAAACTCCGCCCTCCTTTCTTGGTCTCACGGCACACACATCAGCAAGGCAGAAGTTGGGGATTCTTGGAAGAAGTAACAGCAGACTCAGACTGTCAGAATCCCAGCGTGTAGGAAGGGAAGAAACGTCAGAGGGGCGCATAAGCCGAGGAGTAGCTGCTCTGGCGCGCGCGGGAGCCTGCCTCGGACTGGGGTGCGTGTATCAGGAGCCAGGGCCTCTTTCAAGGGCATCACTCACTCCAGCCCCTCACTCTGGGAGCCAGGTACAGTCCCTCCCGCTACACCTCCATCCCGGGGCCGCACACCCAGAGCTCTCCTGGGCTAGGGAGGAATACTTGCGGTCCCTTCGATCAGCCCCAGTATCTTTCATGTATTTCTCACAACAGACCTGTGAACCTCCGTTCTCATTGTACTGATGAAGAAACAGTTCAAATGGAGCAAATGACCAGTGTGCAGTGGTTCTGATGCTTACTTAGTCCAGGGCTCTTTCCGTTATATTACGAACGCTCCTTTTTATATGCAAATGAGGCCAATTGTGTCCGTGACACTTTCCTACAAAATAAAACAATGCCGTAATTACGAAGGCTTGCGAATTGGTGGTATAAAATGGGTAATTGGGGTTTAATGTTAAATCCTGGAGTATGTGACCTAGGTCCAGAAAGAGTGCCTTTCCTAGTGTCACCTCTGCCATCTGCTGGTCAAATGACAATATAACTAAAGCAAGTGGGTATTGATATTATCCTCACATAGAAGCCAAGCATGCCCCTGAGGCTGGGTGAATGATTTGAGTGCGGACTCTGACTTTTAGGGCCTGAGATGACAAAGTAAAATGTTAAATATACAAATAAGGGTCAGAGGTTTTCCACAATAATCTCCGCTCAGGATAAGGAACCTCACAGTTTACAATGGAAGAGCCCATTCATCCGTGTATTCAACAAATATTTATTAAACATTGTCTTAAGTCTGTTTCCCGGGAAATAGATTCTAGGCAGAGGTTTGTGGAAGAGAGTGTTTCTGGGGAGTACTCTTGAGAACAACCCCTGAGAAGGCTTGATGGAAACAGAACTGGTCAGGAAGGGTTGAACGGGGATGAATTTGCCACAGAGGACTTAGCCAATCCTACGGGGAGCTCTGGAGTTGATTTGGCAAGAGATGGAGCCTCTGTCCTTCTGCATCAACCAGTTATTTGATCAGCTAACACTAACCACATCTAGAGGAATGAGGGCCATGATCCTAAAAGGGGGATCCAGGAAACACACCACCCCATCTGCAACAGACCCCTACTACATCCTGGGCACTGTGCCATGGTCTAGGGATGTGATATTGAACAAAACAACATCTCTGCCTTCAAACGCACCCAGGGGTGCAGAGTTAATAAATAAAGAGATAAATAAATATTTTTTAAAAGATTTTATTTATTTATTTGCGAGAGAGAGAAAACGAACATGAGTGGGGAAGAGGGACAGAGGGAGAGGGAGAAGCAGACTCCCCACTGAGCAGGGAGCCTGACTTGGGGCTTGATCCCAGGACCCTGGAATCATGACCTGAGCCAAAGGCAGCCACTTAACCAACTGAGCCACCCAGGTGCCCCAATAAATGTTTTAAAAAACAGGAACTAGAAAATTATCTTGTAGCTAGAAAATGTATCCCATAAGCTTAAGTAAACAACAAAGAAAAATCTTTGCTTTTTATTGATGGCAATAAAGACGGTTGAAAATATTTAGGGTGAAAAGTGAATTCACTCTCTGATGATATAAAAATTGAAGATGATGGAAAAAATTTGTCCAAAAACAGCTCAAGAGAAACTTGCCTATGAAATGCAACTGGAGCAGTGGGAGATCACTTTGGCATTCATCTGTAATGGACTGTGGATTCCCTCCAGCTCTACCCAAGAACATGTGATGGGGTTTTCCCTCTATGCTGGGATCTGCAAGTGTTCTGAGCTGTTGGTAAGAAGGCCGCCCATGGGTGGATGTCATTCCTGAGGGGTGTGCTTGCTGCTGATTTGGGGTGGTTCTCCCCAGACATAGCATCTTGGTACAATCAGGAAAGGCAGCTCCTTGGTGCCTGCTTAGGGGGAGCCAGGGCAGTACTGAGGCTGATTCTGCTCCTGTCCATTGGGTACCCCCCCCAATACTGTTGTCCTGGCCATCTCCTCCTCCTCCACATCCCCCTTGTCCTTCCTCTTCCCCACTTGTGGCATCTTTATTTCATCTCAGAGAAAAAGTACTTGGACTTGCCTGTTATCCCAAGCTGCTATAGCATGACAATGCTCTCTATACCTTGAGCTTGTTAGGGCTTCAATATTTGAAATGCACAGAACTCTTTCTCCGCCGTGAGTTTCAGAGAAATCACGTGAGACTTACAAACCCAAAAATTGCCTTCCTTGTCCCCTGGTTTGGTTGTGGTAGCCATTCTCTGAGGCAAGAGGGATGGAATTGTCTCAGAGGTTTGGGTGAAATAGAGGACCACAATGGGTACCACTGACAGTTCTAGAACATTGCTTCAGACCTTCAGGTGGTGGCCTTCAAACAGCCCTGTTTGCTGTCCTGCCACAAACTCCTCTCTCTGTTTGCCTCACTTCTACCTAACTAGCTCCTCCTTCTGAATCCTGTCTGTCAGCTCATGCCCTAAGGAAGCAAGAACTGGGGGAGTCGTTCTTGCCCTCAAACCCCACTCCGTCCCAGCTGATTAATCATCAGTTTCTAGATAGTTGCACATTTGCGGTCACTGGCCCAATTCAAGACACTGCTAACAACCTCCTTACTTGTCCCTGTGGAGCAGAGTTTCTTAACCTCAGCAGTAGTGACATTTAAGATTGGATCTTCCTTATTGTGGAACTGTCGTCCGCACTGGAGGTTGTTGAGCCGCATCCCTGGCCTCTACCCACTAGATGTCAGTAGCAACCCTTAGTCGTGGCAATCAACAACGTCTTCAGACCACCACCGGGCCAAGGGAAAAATGTGTGCCCTATGTACGCTTATCAAAATGTCCTTTCATAGTTTGAACCAAGTATAAAAAGTTCATGAAAGTTTTGCAACAACAACAAAAAGGCTGAATTCACCCTATGCTAATGTAAAATTTAAAGGGGAAAAAACAAACAAATGAACAAAAGACATCCAGAAACCATTAGAGAAGAAACTTTGCAGGGCCCAGTACAAAATGAAAATACAGGGCTCCTTCTTCAAAACTGATGAAGAATTTCAAAACAGTGACAGAAGAATGTTAAACCAAGTGTGAGGTCCTGTTCGGCTGCACAGTTCTCATACCCATGAAGCTCACCCTGAACCCCATGTTACCCAATCTGCCTGATGGGGAATGTGACAGCTAGGTGGGTCCTGGGAACCCCAAGTTGATTAGAAACAGCTGTTCCCATTGCACAATAACACAGCATCCTAGAACAAACAGCGTCGTGAATTTTTGGCATTAAGTTTGATTTTAAAAAAATATTGTACTAAAATATTATTTATCTTGATTACTGAGGATTTTTAAAAAATATTTATTTATTTGAGGAGCGGGGAGAGGCAGAGGGAAAATCTCAAGCAGATTCCCCACGGAGTGCAGAGCCCCACACAAGGCTCGTTGATCTCACGACCCTGAAATCAGGACCTGAGTGGAAACCAAGAGTCAGACACTTAACCGACTGAGCTACCGAGGCACTCCTTGATTACTGAGGATTTTGGCACCCTCTTAAATTTTGCACCTGGGTAGAGTTCCTTACTTGCTGCACCCTAATCTGAGACTTTGTCAAATGTTCCCTGCTGATTTAGAGGAGTGGTTCTCAAACTGTGGCCAGTATCAAAATCACCTGGGGAGCTTGTTAAGACACAGACAGGTGGGCCCCAGTCCTGGTTTCTGATTCAGTAGGTCTGGGGTGGGGCCTGAGGATCTGCATTTCTAACAAGTGCCCAGATAATGTTGAAGCTGCTAGTCCAGGGCCCATTGAGAACCACTGCTTTCAAGCCATCCTGCATGTGCCAGTGACAATGACATTTCCAAAAGACAAGGCACTTCTCTGCTTAACTCTTCATGGGTCCCCATGGCCTATAGAATATAGTAGATGCTCCTTGGCATGGCAGGCATTACCCCAGAAGCCACCTTTCCAGTCCCTTCTGTGCCCTCTCACCCCACATGTTGTTCTAGTACTATGGGACCGAATGACTCTGACTCAAATAATCTGTCATCATCCCCCCAAACCTTACTAAAGCCTCTAGATTGAGCTAAGTGCCTTTGTCCTCCCACTGCCCATTGAACGTACCCCTCTGTTAGCATTTAACTTTGTACTGAAACGATCTGTTTGTGTGAACGTCTACCTCCATCAGATAGCAGGATCCCGGAGCGGTTTTCTTTATTCTTCTAGTCACTGTTTACCCTCTGGGACAAGTAAGTGCTCCAATAGCATCTAATGAACTGAGCTGAACTGACCTGAACACCATTCTGTTATGGTGCAGTAAAAACAGAGAAAAAGAATACAATCTTGAGTGACAGCTCAAGATGTAAGTGCGTAAGGGGAACACAGCTGAGTCTCAAGAGTCTTGAAGCTTAAGGATCTGGCAGACAGTTTTTCAGTTGTCTGTAAGAGTCTAATGCTTTTTATTTATTTTATTTTATTTTAAAGATTTTATTTATTTATTTGACAGAGAGAGACACAGCGAGAGAGGGAACACAGGCAGGGGGAGTGGGAGAGGGAGAAGCAGGCTTCCTGCCGAGCAGGGAGCCCGATGCGGGGCTCGATCCCAGGACCCTGGGAT